CGATGAGCCGAGGGTGTTGGAATACCGAGTGAATCAGGTGGAGTGTCAGGTGAGATTTGATCACTTTTCCATATAAAGTCAGGTCTACTTTCTAACCAAGAGTTTAAGTCAATGGATAAGTTTCACCTTTTTGAATAGAAGTGGTCTTTGTTATATTGATTCGGTGTGGGACGACGAATTCCCAACACCCCTATCAAGTTGTAACTAATTTGGTCTAGTTACTACTTGAATAAATGGATCTAATATCTCAATATTTTTATAGCTAATCTAGAAGGTGATACCAAGTTGAATTAATAAATCCAACCGGACTTGGCTTTGATACCATGTTAGAATTTTGATTCACAGAGTGAATCAGGTGGGATGTCAGGTGCAATTTGATTACTTTCCCATATGTCCAGATCCACTTTCTAACCAAAAACTTAAGTCAAGTAGAATTTCAACTTTGTGTATGAAGGGTAATGGAGGTAGTCTTTGTTAAATTGGTTTAGCCGTACATTCATCTTCTGGCATAAAGTAAATTGAACTCTAATCACATATTGTATTATCTTCTAACGTAGTTGTCTGAGGTATTGTTCAATTAAGTAAGAGGTATTGAACTGTAGCTTAAAAGTGACGTGTGATTATTTCCAGACAATATGTCCATCCAGAAATTAATCACTCTGTACAATCAGTTGTTGCCGGGAAATAAATGAGAGATTATTACCTCTAACGCCGGCGTTATTAATCAGCGCATCGATCCGGCCAAACGAGTCCCAGGCTTTCCGAACGGCGGCTTCAATGGCGGCTCCGTCGGCGCTAACATCGAGCCCAATGGCCACCGATCCGGGCTGCTCGCCGGATCTCATCGACTCCATTCCGTTAATCTCGTCGCACAGAGACTTGAGCCGCTCCACGCGGCGCGCGGCGGCGATGACTCTGCAGCCGGATTTGGCCAGGTCGAGGCTGATATCTCGCCCGATCCCGGACGAAGCCCCGGTGACCAGCACCACCTTCCCGGCGAGGCTCTGCCACGGCTCTAGGTGGCGCGTTACTCTCACGCGGCTCTCCATTCGGCTCCGGTACGGCGGAGAGGGGAAGGGCGAAATGAGCCAAACAGGGCGGCGAGGCCTTTAGTAAGAAGAAGCGGAGGACAATTGTCGTCGACAGAATAAAAGAGGAAGTGTAACGGCTGTCCCTTTCACCTTGGGAGACGGGACCCTCTGGTATTATACCCCTGATCCCACTTTCCTTTGTCCAACAAAAAAACGTGTAAATTTTCGGAATGGTAGGTGCAATTATGTTCCTAAAATTTGAAATGCCTACTTTTTCTATAATTTTCATTGGCTTATACGGAGTACTTAATTATTTAAGGAAAAATTATCTAAAATAATCCTAATTTATTTTGTATTTGAAAAATAATTCTATCTTTCACTGTAATGGATAATAATCTTAATTTTATTGAAATTTGTGAGTTTTGGGTCGCCGTTAAGTTATTAAGAGCATGAACAATGGTGAGGCAAAAATGGAATGGCACACGCTGACGTGTAGCATTTCAATCAATAAAAAATAGTCTAGTCAACGAGTGTCACATGAGTGGAGTGGCATGCCTTGCAGTGGCAAGTCATTGTTTTCATCCCTTTTTTCATATTTTTGCCATATTTGAATTATTAAAAATTATTTTACTTATATATTTTTATGATAAAAATATTTCTATTTACTCAAATAAATAATTTTTTATATATTTTTTTAGAAATGTTTTTGTTATCTACTCCATATTTTTATTTATTCCTTCATCTCAATTTAGATTATTATTTTAGAATTACGATGCAAAAACTCTTTGTTTTTAAATATCATTTTATTTAAAAAATCATTATTTTTGTTTGTTTTTAAACTTTTTAAACGTATTTTAATTATTAAAAATTATTTTACTTATCCTATTTTCATAAAAAAAAGATGTATTCCTTTTAAAAAAATTACAAAAAAAATTAAAAAAATGAATGGGAACACATTGACACGGTCATGACTCGCAGATAGAGGAGGAATGCTCTATCCACGCATGGCAACCTCCTTCTCCGTGCTGATGTGGCAGCGAGGCATCCCTCCAAACACGCCAGTGTTGATGCTCTAACGGCGGGTTAACGAAACGGCCTGTTTTGCGCAATAAAATGAAAGTTGAGATTATTTTTTTCCTTTTTTAAATACTCCGCATTATTCTTATCTTATAAAAAATAAAAATAAAATATCAAAAATGAGAAAAATAATCAATAAAAAATTAAACTTAAATTTAAAAGAAACAAAATAAAAATATAACGAGTAGCGTGCTCAAACATTTTACGTACTATACAGAGTATTGATGTACAATGGAGTACTTATTTTTTGAAAGAACAAGTAAAGTTAAGATTATTCTAGATATTTTTTCCTAAAAATAAGAAGCATTACATTAATGATCTGTATAGTGTGTAAAATATTTTAACTTATCACTAATATATTTTATTTTATTTCTTACCAGTTTAATGTTAATTTCTAGTGATTATTATTTTTTCATTAACTTTATATGATTTTAGTTATTTTCTCAATTTTTATTTTTTATATATATTTTTTTTCTTTGTATCCAAAGTGAAACTAATCTTTAAAAAATATACTACCTCCGTCCCAGAGTATTTGTCCACTTTCATTTTTACACATCATCTAATAAACTTCTTTAATCCATTTTATCTTGTAATTTGTATATTAAAAACTTATAGAAATTATATATTAATAATCTATATATTAAGACAAATCAAACAAGATCACACATGACTATATTTAGGCTTACACATTGAGAGAATTTGATGAGTCAAATGCTTAGATGAATAGTTCCAAAAGTCAAAATTGGACGAATACTGCGGGACGGAGGGAGTAAATGATGGAGGTAGAAATTTGCGTAAAACAGATTGTTTCTATTAACTCGCCATTAGTAACTTAACGGCGACTCAAAATTTGTAAATTTCAATAAAGTTGGAATTATTATGCATCACAGGTGAGATTATTTGTGAAAGACCAAATAAAGTTGGGATTATTCTACTAAGGTCCATAAAATGAACATGAAACTAAGAACCATAAATAAATTTGTCCTCTTTTCTACTAAGGTTCCGTTTGATATACAGAATTGAAATTGAGATTCTATGAAATTCAAATAGATTGAATTCAATAATCTAATTTCGATTCATATTTTGCAGTACTAATTATAAATCCACATATTTTATGCTACCAAACAACAGATTTCGAATTGAAGTCTCTAATTACAATTTAAATGACCTAAATTTCATGTACCAAAAAGAGACTAAGTGTTTTGTCAAATCAATTCTCAAAAAACTATAATTACGCATGTGGTAATTTATAATTGAGTTTTATTTTCTTGGTAGTCTTATGTGAAAAAATGTGCATTAAATGACTATTAATGGGACAAGATCAATTCTCCTTTGTCTATGCGAATAGCGCATGTTGAGACAACCAAAATCGCCGCGTGAAGATGACTCCACCACCAGCAGTGGCGGGTAAGGAACATTGAAAAAATAAAGTTCATTGGATGAAGGACATTTTTGTCATAATAAAATAAACTAATCGCATGGTAGCCCCCTATGGTTTGAAAATGGAGCACCAATGCCCTCCCCCCCTTTATCAAATTTCCAGCCCATCAACGGAGCGTATGATTCACGCACCACAAAAAATCTGGTGGAGGGGGTATAGACGCTGCTTTTAGAAGCTATAGAGATTTTAGGAGAAAGTATTGAAAACATGAGGGATTTCAGCGCCTATTTTTCAAACCACAGGGGGGTTTAGAGCTATTAGGCCATGGAAGGAGTACTAGCACCAACTAAACCGAACTAAACCCAAATCCAAATTACCAAACAGGCCATGATTTACATTATTACTCCTATAATTGTCTCATATTAAATTGTTACCCAATCGCTACATAGTTATCATGTGTGTTATTCTTTTAATCAGATCAGATCAGAAATAACTTTAAATTACATTACAATCATATGGATCAGATTAGATCATATTCGATTAGCCTAAAAAAAGTTTAGATCAGATTCAAAACGTTTAGACAAAGAAAACACGCTCATACAAAGTTAAACAGAGAGAAAAATATATGAAGAAGAGGATTGGAAGATAATTAAGGCATGTTAGTTTGGTTTTTTAAATGAAAAGGTACAAAATGACACTCTTAAATTGTCAACATTGTATTAACAAAGTCATGTTGATAACAAACATGATGACCTTAGAGTAACAGTATGAAGATGAGACAATTTTGGAAGTAATGACGTAAATTAATGAATTTGTTAGTATTTTACTATTTATGTAAAATTATGATTTTTTGGGAGTATTTGTGTGAATTTTTTTGTGAATTACCACAAGGGTTTGTGCATGTCCGTCATCTATAAGATAAAAAGAACAACCTAAAAGTGGAACTAAGGACATTTGTAATGGATGGGGGAAACCACCACGCGCTTGAAGAGATCTGGTGCGCGACGGTCGTTGATTGCTTATGTGGGGAGTGTCTGGCGCCACAATACGGACTGGACACCAAGCTCGAGGTGCGAGCAACAGCTTGCACCGGGCGCATTGAAGCACCGATCAAGTTATTTATATTTTTTTTTCAATTTCATATTTTATCAATTTTTATGAAGGAATATTTCTTTTTCAATTTTAATATCTTGAAAAAACAGGAGGAAAAAGTGATAACATTGAGAGTGTTTTAGTTTGGTGCAAAAAAAAGAAAAAGAAAAGAATAATGACTTGACCCTATAGGAGAGCGGACGAATGGTCCGTGTAACTATCTGCCTCACGAACCAACCGAACCAAATCAAACCAAACCAAATGAATGCAACAGAGTGTCATCTGAGAAGGGTGTAGCTGTAGCCTTTCTTTATCCCCCCACCCCCACCCTCACGCCTCGCAAGAGATTTGAAAAGACTATTGAGCTACAAAGAGACCTTAGCTAGCTTTTACTCTCCATGTCTGCCATTTTGTTCTCACATAAATATATCCCATCACTTCTGTCTTCTCCCCCAAACCCACATCACCTCCCCTTCGCCTCTTTCCGAAATCCCTCCTCAAACCCCTTTTTTTCTGGCTTTTGGGTATGATTCTCCTCCACTCCTCTCTTGCATCTGCTGTAAGAACCCATTGCCCAAAAACGAAAAAAGTTTGAGTCTTTTGCACACATGTGACCAGACGACAAGAAGAAAACACCAAGTTTCTTTTTTTTTCTTCTTCTTTGATTCTTTACTTTCAAGATGATAAAAATTTCAGACCTTTACCATGTTCTAACAGCAGTGGTTCCGCTCTATGTTGCCATGGTGTTAGCCTATGGGTCGGTGAAGTGGTGGAAGATCTTCACCCCAGATCAGTGCTCCGGGATCAACAGATTCGTGGCTCTCTTTGCCGTTCCTCTTCTGTCTTTCCACTTCATCTCCACTAACAACCCTTATGCTATGAACTACAGGTTCATAGCAGCAGATGCTCTTCAGAAACTCATTGTCCTTGGGGTTTTACTCATCTGGTCAAGAACCAGCTCAAGGGGATCTCTTGAATGGTCCATTACCCTCTTCTCTCTTTCCACTCTCCCCAACACACTTGTTATGGGGATTCCTTTGTTGAAGGGCATGTATGGGGAGTTTTCTGGGGGGCTAATGGTCCAGATTGTGGTGCTTCAGTGCATTATTTGGTACACTTTGATGCTCTTCTTGTTTGAGTATAGGGGAGCTAGGTTGCTCATTGCGGAGCAGTTCCCTGACACTGCGGCTTCCATTATCTCATTCAAGGTCGATTCTGATGTCATCTCGTTGGATGGGAAAGATCCATTGGAGACCCAAGCTGAGGTTGGTGATGATGGGAAGCTCCATGTGATTGTGAGGAGGTCAGCAGCTTCTAGGTCTGAGATTTTGTCAAGAAAATCCAATGGGCCCCACTCTTCTGGTCTTTCATTGACACCCAGACCTTCAAACCTCACCAATGCTGAGATTTACTCCCTCCAGTCCTCAAGAAACCCTACCCCTAGAGGGTCCAGCTTTAACCACACTGATTTTTACTCTATGCTGAATGGGAACAAGAGTGCAAATCTCAATACTAGTCCAAGGAGATCCAATATGGGGTTTGATGAGGAGAGTGGGTTAGGAGGAGGGGGGAGGGCAAATGTGGCCTCAGGGTACCCTGCACCGAACAGTGCCACCGGAGTAGTCTCTCACACGACGGGTTCGGGTGCTAAGAAGAAGGCTAATGGGACTGAGGGCGGAGGGGGCAAAGATCTTCACATGTTTGTTTGGAGCTCAAGTGCTTCACCAGTGTCTGAAGGGGGGATTCATGTCTTCAAGGGAGGTGACTATAATCAAGAAATTATTGGGGTTGGACCTCACCCTAAAGGTTTTTTCTTCCTATCTCCTGAGTACTTAATAATGAATCATTTGTTGATTATATACTTAAATTTTCAGTGTCATGATGTTGATCTATGTTGTTAGCTTGGAGCTTTCTTAAATTCTTTGGAGATTTATAGCTGTTGATTTAATTTCTACTGCCTTATATTCATATCAAATTTATTCTTGTATAGGTTTCTAGACTGCCTTTCACCAAATGGTCTCCGAAATTATGGTCATATCTGTCTTTCCCTATGATGCATTGTTTTAGTGTTTGATTTAGAGATTGCTATAAGTGCTATAAATACTAACATCCCATTGTTTGTTTTACTTATTTAGAGGCATTTTGTTGGCGTTCTTAGTGATCAAATTATAAAACTACTCCCTATCACTTCGGGGGTGTTTGTTTTTTTGCCTATGTTTTGTTAGATTATGACGACTTTGGCCGGGATGAATTCAGTTTCGATAAAAGACAGAGTGGAAATGAGCGCCGGGAAGGGCCAGTGCTGTCAAAGCTAGGTTCAAGCCGCTCCACAACTGAGCTCCGGCCCAAGACAACAGATGAAACCACCAAGCCTCCTCACATGCCTCCTACAAGTGTCATGACCAGACTCATTCTTATCATGGTGTGGCGAAAACTTATCAGAAACCCAAACACATACTCCAGTCTCATTGGCCTCACTTGGTCTTTGGTTTCGTTCAAGTATGCAAAACACACCTCCTAATAACATTCTTGATGCCATTTTCCATTTAAGCAGGTTTGGTTTTTCATGATTGTGTCAAATTCTTGCAGGTGGCACGTTGAGATGCCGGCCATTATAGCTAAATCAATATCCATTCTATCTGATGCTGGCCTTGGAATGGCAATGTTCAGCCTTGGTATGTTCCCTTGCACAACTAGGGCCTTCAAAGTTCAAACTCAAGAAACCATTTTTTTATATGCTTACAAATCCATTCTATTTACTCCATATATGTTTTTGATATTATATAAAGACGAAAGAACATTACTATATGTAAAAGTTAAAGAATTAATCACATTTGACTGTGCTTGGCTTTTTCCAAGGGGAAACCAAACTTTGAAAGCTAACTTTTTTAGCATTTTTCCCATGTCCTTCTCATTTATGCATTCTTAACATACCCTTAGATAGTGTTCAATCTTTTTCCAAAAAATATATAAGATTAACACGGAGTAACATAAAGATTTGCTATATAAAAAAAGGGAAATGAATCATATGATACATCTGCTTAAATTTGAACTTTCAAAGAGTGTGGTGCTTGGGATCTGCAGGTTTGTTCATGGCATTGCAGCCTAGAATCATTGCCTGTGGGAAGAAAATAGCTGCATTCTCCATGGGTGTTAGGTTTCTTATTGGTCCTGCAGTCATGGCTGCTTCCTCCATTGTCGTTGGCCTTCGAGGTGTCCTGCTTCACGTCGCCATTGTCCAGGTACAACAATCCCATTTTTCTTGTTTTTTTTCTCCTTTTCGCGTTTTGTTCAGAATACGTTTTTAAGCTCAGTTTTCTCTCTCTCATTTTCAAGGCTGCCCTTCCCCAAGGAATCGTGCCTTTCGTGTTTGCAAAGGAATACAATGTCCATCCTGATATATTGAGCACCGGGTAAGAATCATTCCAATGAATACGCTCCTAAAACACTTGTGATTATTCAACCTGCAAGAAACAAAAACAAACTTATTGGCTTAATGACAATTATTATTGACTAATGACTGGTGAGGGCTAAGCCTAAATTCAATGGTCTCTTCTGCAATGCAGGGTTATATTTGGGATGCTAATTGCTCTGCCCATAACTTTGGTCTACTACATCTTTTTGGGTCTCTGATGCTTTTGAAAAGCTGTTAGAAAAGTTCACACACCTAACACAAAGAGGTGACTNGGTCTAACAAGACACTAGATTTAACTATGAAGCCTTCCCTATAAAAGAGATGGTGAATGACAAATGTTGAAACAAGGCAGAGATACATATATAGAGAAGATGGTGAAGTTTGGTCATTTTGCACCCTTGGATTATTAGCTTTCTAGTACCTACCACTTTGTTGTTGTTTTCTTCTATCCCACCACCCCACCCCAGAAACACTTGTGCTTAACAAACAAATCAAGAAAGTCCTGGTTGCTTTTGTCTACTTAAGATTTGAGCTCTTTTTGTCTCTCTTAGTGGTAATGCACATAGCCCGAAAATGAGGTTCCAAAATCGAGTAAAAAAAATTAATTTTTATCAAATTTTTACTGGTCTCGAACTTCATTTTTGTAGTATGTGCATTTTTTTTACTAGCATAGTAGAACAGTGGTAATTCGTAGCAGGACTAATAACGAGAAATGAGTAGACATGTTAAATTGTAATTAGAAGGTCAATTATAGTGTAATTAAGCTTTAATTGTAATTACAAATGTTAGTAATCAAGTTGTCATTTGAACAAACAAAATGGTGTTTTTTAAGGTTTTTAGTTAGACATAGGAATGGAGGGTCCAGTGTTGGGAAGTAGGGAACAAGAATGGTCCTCACCTGGTCCCCTCTTTTTGGTTTGAACTACTCGTATATACTCAGTCCCTAATTTGAATACAAATTAGAGTTTACGAAGAGAGATATTTCATTTTTTAAAATCATTTTATTTACAAATCGGTATATCGGTTGGAAATAAAAATTATATAGTACTCTAATGTCTGTTCACTATTCACAAGGTCAAACTTTATTCACTTTCTTTCTCTATTTTCGTTAGCAATTTGATAAAATAAAATATTGTTGTCACTACTAATTTTGTAGATTTTTTGATGTATTATTTTGATATTGAATTTTTATTTTTTAACTCTATACCATTTATCATATAAAATGATTTGAAAATAATTTCAGTCAAACATCGTAAACCGAAACAGGCGTTATAAAATGGGACGGGGGGAGTAAAAAATTGCATTAAAAGTTCTACAAAACAAGAGGTAATAAGAATATTTTATTTTATCAAATATTTAATGAAATCGCGTAAATAAACAAAAGTTATCTAGAAGAGAAAAAAATTGTAATCAAATTAGGGACGAAGAGAATATATAATTTTTACCTGAATTTATTAAGATTTGGTTTGAATATATTTTGTCCGCATTTCTCTGCTCTTGTTTGAATTGATCTGAATCTTTCTATTTTGATTTGAAATTTTCTCATTTGATTTGAAATTTTCTCATTTGATCTTATGGAGTACAATTATGTCATCACTATTTTCATTAAATTTTAACATAGTTTTTAAATTTGTAATTTTTATTTTCTAATTCTATCTCGATTCTTATATTACTCCGTAATTGAATTGAAATAATTTTGATTTATTCCCTCCCTGAGTGTTTGTCCACTTTCATTTTTGCACACCATCCAATGCACTTCTTTAATCCATTTTATCTTGTAATTTGTATATTAAAAAATTATAAAAATTATATATTAACATTAAGAGAATTTGATGAGTCAAAGTGCTTAGATGAATAGTTCCAAAAGTCAAAAGTGGACAAACACTCAGAGACGGACCAAGTAATATCGTAATGTGAAACACAAAAAATAAATTAGGACGTACTTTGTAAATTTGGAATAGACTCAAACTTTGTCAAAATTGGATCCAAAGTTGGATCTAGTTATTCCATATTAAACTACTCCGTATTTATTTTGTTCAAAATTGAAACTTTAGACTTTTTTTTTAATCTAAACCCACCTAAATGATGATCAAACTTATAGACTTGGGTGGATAAGTTGACCTATATCTATCTCTTGGGCAGCCCCTCTGGAGGCTCCGGCAAATCCGCACGGCACAGTGATTTTGTGGGCAGGGGAATTGAATATGGGGAAAAGATGTTTATGAACAAAATGACACGAAAGCCCCCATGTGTTCAGAGGGAGGGCATAACAAAACACAATTAACGTGCATTTGTTGCTTTCGGACCTAACATTTCTGGAAATGTAATTACCCCATCGAACTTTTGCGTAGCCTGCACCTCGTAAATAGGTAAAAAACTTAAAAATAAATAAATAATTAAAAATGAAATAAAAATATGAGGTTGAGAAGGGGATGTGGGACAAATGGGGTACACTTTTGGTGTACCCCTAGCATTGCTCTTTGCATAAATTTGCCTACTCAAATTTATTCACCCATACACTTTCTTTACCCATTCTAAAAAAAAGTGGAACATCTACCCCGTGTTTTCTCATACCTTGGCCCGACAAGATTGTAAATGAGGTAAATCACCATATCATGTTATAATCTTAATTTGGTCTTTAGAAGGGTTGTCCCGTACTCAGTGTATGCAATAAGCTATTACAAAGAATAGAATTCCCACACTGCCGCTGTAGGGAATCGACCTTAGGATCAACAGGCTTGACATTCTCTTTTTGGACGAGTTGAGTTATCCATACGGCCACTTTACCCATTCCAAAAGAGGGAGTATTGATCCACTTAAGTTTGCAAGTGTGTTGTGTTTCATTACGCCTATCATCTTTAAGGGGTTTTTTTTTTTAATGTTATTGACTCTATTACAAGGTGATATATGTTCATATCATTTTCAATCTAATGACGCACAAAAAGTCAAGATTGACCCCATGATTTCAAATTTGCTTGCAATGTGGCCCTTTCAATTGTACATGGACCCTAAAATCATCCAATAATCACAAGTTAGTCTAAAATAATATCAAAATATAAATCAACAAGTCTGTCAAAAGATAATGAAATGTGCACATATAACGAACTTATCACCATATCCAGTGGTTTAATTTCAATGTGGCTGATTGTCCCGTTTGATACCCCATGTCGCCTTGGACAACCTAATTTGCTTCCTATCCATCGCGATGCTTTCGATGCTAATGTGAATGGTCACATGAGTTTATTATTCCATACAAGTTGATTCTAGTTGTTCCAAATCTCACGAAGAACCACCACCATCGTCGCAATTGCAAGTTACAACGTCTGTCTGCCTCATCATACAACATCTATCCATTGTTCGAAGGAATTAGTCGTGGGTATGACCCCTACTAATATTGCATAACGTCTATCCATATGTTGTTGCTCATACTTTTGTGAGACAAGTTGAGTCTGTTGATTTTTGGGATGCTATCCCTCATGACTTTGTTATTGTTCTTTTAAAGTAATGTTACATAACTGTTTGACTTAAAAAAATAATAATACCAAGTAATAGACACGATAATTAAATGAAGGGTATACATGCATGGAAAAAGAGTAATATAAAGTATGAGTAAAACATTTAAATATATCAAAATAAGAGTTACATGTTTTTATTTACAAAATAAGATTTAAAATGCATTTTACAGTGTTATTCATGACCACATAAATTACCAAAAAGTATTGAGAGGTCACATTACGATAATGCGAATTTCTATTTTAGAAATAAAAACATGTGACTCTTATTTTGGTATTTTTTCCCCTCTTATTTAGGTAATTTCTTTAGATGTAGTGTTTTTTAAATGTAATGTTACTAAGTAGATATTTCGCTCCTATTTTCCACCCATTTCAAATCAATAGCAATGGAGGAAAATAACAATTCATTTTTTGTCCTCTTTATTTTTCATATCTCACCACCGGTTGGGAGACCTTCGGCCTTAATCTGCAAACCCAGTCGATTAGAATTAGTCAGATTTTGCCAAAGGCGATTTCGGGACACCCGTAGTCTAACAAAAAATAGAGGAATGAGTGAGGAAAGAAGACAAAAATATTTTGAGAAGAATGATGTAGAAAATTATGGAAACATATGAAAAAAGAAAAGGCTTATTAGTGTACAACACTTGGTGTACGTAACTTGCACATGAAATGTTTTACATGCGTGTATAAACAATTGTTGTTTGTGTGTCTGTAACATACTTAATATACAAGTGACGTACTTATAGCACAATACACGAAAATGTATTATATGGAGTGTGGTGGATGTACTTAGGTTGAGTAGTAAATGGGGTGGTTGGACAAATATTATAATTATAATAAAATTATTAGTACTAAAAAATTCAAACCAAACTTTATACTTTGGCTCTTTCAAAATTTTAATTACATTTATCATATTTAAAAAAAATGAATCAAAATATGTATCACCTACCAAACAAATTTGAACTTCTTAACATTTCAAGGTTTTAATTAAATTCAAGAAAATTAAAGTGATTTTCTTTTGAAAACAAATTGAAGTGATTTTTTAGGTGGAGTACTTGCAAATATTAGCATGGATTAGAGAGGATATCCAACTACAAATAAATAAATAAATAAATAAATAAATCCATTCCCATTGAAAAAAGGCCTACCTCTGTTCTTCATCTCTTCTTCTTTGCTTCAGGCATCTGCAAATCATGGCGATCTCCAGAGGCCAGAGGGCGAAGCCGAAATCGAGATCAATCCTCATACTCACGTTGTCCATCGCCGCCATTGCTTTCTTGTTCCTCTACTCTTCCTTGTTCTCCACTGACCGCTTCTCCATTTCCACCCCCAAAACCATAAGGGACCTCATAGTGGTCCACTCCAGGACCAGACCGCAAAAAGGGCCTGACAAATTCCTCTACTGGGGGAGCAGGATCGACTGCCCTGGGAAGCATTGCGACTCCTGTGCGGGGCTAGGTCACCAAGAATCCAGCCTCCGGTGCGCCCTTGAAGAAGCCCTCTTCCTTCATAGGTACAGTAGTAATTTCTCTCTTTGGGTAACAGAATTATGATTCTGGATTTATTTTATTTTTAGTTTTTTTTTGAAATATTTTGAGCTGTAATGCATAATCTCTTATACTGATGAGATGAGATACATGTTTGTTGATGTGTAGCCACACATCTGCTTTTTGAGTGCTTTGTATTGCTCATTTATACTTTGGATTCCACAAATGCCACACTTCAAAATTTTGAGGAGGCATAATTAGGTTAGGGACTTTAGTATCTGCATTAAGTTAAAAGATTGGGATGACAATGTTGGTTGAGACATGAGAAATTTTGTTTTTATTGTGATTTTGGGATCTGGACTAAATCTTGTTGGTGTTCTATTTCTGAGATTGTGTAGGCTATTCAATTCCCAAAGATTTCTGTTTGGTTATTATGAAAATTTCGATGCAATGTTGAGGAATGTTTTACATCCAAAGAGGGTTTAATTACCCCTCTCTTTTTTTCCTGTTGCAGAACGTTTGTAATGCCTTCTAGGATGTGCATCAATCCAATACACAACAAGAAAGGGATTCTTCATCAATCTGAGCATGTAACTTCTCAGGAAGAAGGGTGAGCTTTGTTTTTCAACTAGCGATTTTTCATTCAACATTTTATGAAAATTTGTTTTCCTATAGCCCACATCCAGAATCTGAGAGGTTCCTTTTGGAACCCGGAACGCGCTAGGCAAAATAAATTTTATGTTCTTGTGTTTGGGTTTCACTTGGAAAATGCAAAGGAATGATAGCTTGTGGTTTGCTAGGTGGGCAGCTAGTTCTTGTGCCATGGATTCTCTGTATGATTTGGAGCTCATATCAGATACAGTTCCTGCTATTCTGGACAATTCAAAAATGTGGCATCAGGTTCTTGCCACAAGTATGAAATTAGGTTCCAGAGGGATCGCTAATGTGAGAGATGTTAGCCGGGCTGAACTTAAAGAAAATAGTTTATACTCAAACATTTTGCTGATAAACCGAACTGCAAGCCCCCTTTCATGGTAATTTGTGCTTGCCCTCCAGTTCAGTTTGTTTTTGTTATTTGTCATTTGTGTTCCGTTCAATGCTTTCAATCATTAATTGTATGACTATGGCCTTAGTGATTATGGGGGTCCTTGATGGGGAGGTTTGGGGAATGTGGATCGAGAATTGAATGATAGCATGTGGTTGGTAAGTGCTCCCCTGATTTGATTTCCCACTGTTGGACTTTGAACCGGATCCCTCTCATTTGAGGGGTATGAATTCAACAACAACAAATCCAGTAAAATCCCACAAAAGTAAGGTTTGGGAAGGGTAAGTGTACACAGACCTTGTCCCCAAGAGACCCCTAGCTCAAGCATAGATAAAGTAAATCGACAAGAAGATACAAAAGCATGACCAAGGTGAGAACAAAGTAGATGCAGAGAGTAGATTGCAAACTACGGGTAAAGAAAGCACACAAAGACAAGATGCACACAAACCAACCCAAACACTAGACTTCAAGCACAGAGAGCACACGAAGACAGGGGCAACAAGGGTATGAAAGTCATTACCTTTTCTTTCAGACCCATGCTCTTTTCCATTTCTTAAAATTTTCCAACCACATTCTAGTTGTGCTAAGAATTAACATTGTTCTTTTAATTCCTTAGAATACCTAGGTGAGAGAGACCCATAATGTATGCATTTTTTTCTCTCTGTCCCTACAAGATTAAAAAAGGGAAGACACCGACTTTCTGGATTGAGATTCAGTTCGAGATATCCAGTAATTTTATCCATTTATATCACGTTTTTCTCTTGTGGGATTACACTGGGTAGGTTGTTGTATATGAAATTTTCTCCTCACCAAAACCAGATCGGGAAAGAAGACTGGCCAGATTGCAATTGCTCTAACGTCTCCATTAAAGTTCTCTCACTTATGGCTACAAATTTGTTACACTCAACAAAGTGATACATGACTGAAATATATTTTAAATGAGTATTTGTTACAAACTGATGCAATAGTCTAATACTCTCTTAGTGCTTGTGGCATAAACTGTTGTTTCTAAATCATGATACACTGGATTTGTTTTTGAATTGATATTATCCTTCTGTAGGTATTAATCATGGTAAACCTTCAGGTTCATGGAGTGCAAGGATCGAACCAATCGTAGTTCTGTCCTATTGCCATTTTCTTTCATTCCTTCAATGGCCGCCAAGAAGCTAAGAGATGCCGCAGAAAAGGTTAGTTTGATTGCACTAATGCACTTTGTAAGGCATTGACAGCTATTTTTTTTGCTCTGACTCTATCAGAAAATTTCATAGATATCGTTGAGTATCCCACCTGAGTTACTGTTTTCGCTCTGACTCTGCCCAGAAAATTTTTGTGTATTCTACATTGGTTTTCCTTGAGTCTAATATCAAAGGGTGTGCTTGGAAGGAGGTAGGCCGAGGTTAAATTAGGTATGCATTGTGAGGTAGGTAAAAATAATAAAATGTTTGTCAATCTAGGAGGTGACACTAATATTAAGTTTGCTAAAACACCCTTTTCAAGCTCTAGTCTCTCCTGCACATTTCTCTTTTCTGCTTGCGATTCTTCACCATCATCACCTCCCTCCATGTGATTCTTCTTCCCAGCTAATCCACCAGCTAGCGGAGACTAGGATCATTGATTCTTCTTAACATCTTAGATTGGCCATCTGGGAGTTATTTTTCTTTGTTTCCACTCTCTGATTATTCTTCTTCCCCTCCCCCCTGTGTGTGCTCTCTTTCTCTCCTCTGTGGCTCTGTTATCTCTGAAAAAGGGCAAAAGTGACTTCTTTACATTCTATTTTTCTAATGCTATTGTTCATCAATTTGGCAGAGCTAAATTGCTACTGTTAGGAGGTAAGGCTTACCCCCCTTACCTCCACCTTCCTTGGCCCCCCCCTTCTAACAAGGTAGGGATACTTACCTCTCTTTACCTACCTCCTACCAAACATGCCTTAAGTCTGAGGTAAAGCTCATCTCTTGAGGATCCTTTAGGTGAGCTAATCCAAACTAACATATAGCTGAGCTCTATAATTTTCAGGGTTAAGTGACATCTCTAATTATTGTTTCATTTTCTTACCTTTCCAACCGAAAAGATTCCTTTTGTTTTTAATTTCTTTGCACAAAATTATTCCACATGCACTAAGCTTTACCACTCTCTAATGGAAGACTCTATCTCTTGAACATTCAGGCAGGATACTTTTACAGATTTCACCAAATGTGGCAAAGGTTCTATTAAATAACTCTGATGCTTGTGTATATGTGTGTGTTCCTGATGTTTTTATTTCTTTCACACCCATTCTAGAATTCTTTATTCGTGCATAGCATGTGGCCATTAAGAATTTAGGATAGCCTTACTTTTGGCCACTTTTCATGATGTTAGGGTAATTCTGCCTTGAACTACAATAGCAACCATAAATCAATGTTGTTAATGCGTCGTACTTGTACATAAGAAAGCTAACAGTAAAAATGAGAAGTTGCAGTGTTCATGACTTGAGATAATGAGTGACCTTAATTTCAATCGGGTAACCAATGTTTTGCTTCTTTTTTCTTCCATTACAGAGAGTCTGATATGTTCATGTTGACCTACATTTGTCACCCTTCATTTATTACAGATCAAAGCACTGATTGGGGATTATGATGCTATTCATGTGCGCAGAGGAGATAAGATCAAGACGAGGAAGGATAGGCATGGGGTTGAACGAAGCTTACATCCTCATTTGGACAGAGATACACACCCAGAGTTCATTCTGTGCAGAATTGCTAAATGGGTCCCATCTGGCCGGACTCTTTTCATTGCTTCTAATGAGAGAACGCCCGGTTTCTTTTCACCTCTGGCTGTAAGGCAAGTGACTCTACTCAACATCTCATTTCCTTCATTTCAAGAATGAGGAGATTTGCCTATGGTGCATTCAATAACTCCCTCTGTCGGCTCTTATTTGATTGCAGGTACAAGCTAGCCTATGCTTCAAACTACAGCAAGATTTTGGATCCAGTGGTTGAGAACAATTATCAGCTGTTCATGGTGGAAAGGCTAATCATGATGGGAGCAAAAACATTCATCAGAACATTCAAAGAAGATGACACTGATCTTTCTCTTACAGATGATCCAAAAAAGAACACCAAGTTGTGGCAAATACCTGTTAATACCACTGACACCAAAGGTTGCCAATAAACTCAATGGTTGATGACACTTGTTTCTCCTGTTTTTTTTTCTTCGAGAACAATTTTTTTCATACAAAATCCTTGGTTAAGTTGTGCTTTATTAGATGCAAGGTGAGCTTTGACTTTTGAGGGCGCAAGCTACTTGAGAATGTTGTAAATTGTGTTACCTTTTTTTATTTATTTATTTATAGGAAGCTGTAATTTTATTTTGTTTTTTTTTGATACATGGAAGCTGTATTTAGTAAGGACATACTCGGTATAAACAGAATGTGAATATTTTGGTTATTTACTTTTTGACCCTTCTTTTAACCTCCATAATTATCTCTCTAGAATTTTTTAATCTAAGATTCAAAATTTTCTTCCACTTTCTTTTTAAGAAAAAATTATGTGGTCTATGTTAGTGAGAAAAAGTAGTGAAAAATTAATTATAAAATAAATGGTTCTCTTGTTATGTTATTTTTATCTAATGATGAACAAAAATTAATACTATAAGGCGATGGTTCTCTTGACGAGGGACTTGATGGGGCTTGATAGAGTGTAAAGATATATGATGTGGATTGATGAAAAAATGTGTATTATAGTGAGTGTGATGAAAAGTGATAAGATATGAATATATGTTAAATTTTGATTGGTTAACAAAAAAGAAAAAGGGAGAGAAGGGCAATGCCCGTGAAGTGTGTGACGGGAAGAGGGGCAACACCCCCTTTAATTGGGTCAATTCCGGATCTTAAAAAATCATTCCCAATCTGTGAAAGTGGTTCTAACATAATGAGGTAGATCTGACTTTTGTCATCTACCGTTTGATTATGAATTCTTTCTAACAGTACTGATCCGGAACACTTTATTGTCACCGGCACTGTCTTGGAGTTAATTCTCACTTGAAGGGGTGTGAGGAAGGAGGGAGTATTATACTTCAAAAAAATTTATTAATCTTTCCTTTCCGTTTTAAATCGTTTGTTTTGGTTAACGATTTACTGAAATTATTTTTTAATAAATTTATTTGAGAATTAAGATAACATTAAAAATAAAATTGTATATTTAGAAATTATATTAAAAATTCTACGGTCACATGATTAAATTATTCTATTGAATAATTAAGAAATTAAGACTAGAGATTCCAAATTCGAAATTACAAGAGGGGGGAATCATTTGACTCGAGCGAGAGTGGTCACAGAAAAGTTGAAGCCGTGCCGCTGACGCAACGCCGCTACCCGCCGGAATATTCTTCTTCCCCTCAGGTATTCTATCTATCTAAACCCCTCCCCCGATTTCTTCTTCTCATCGGAATCAATGTGCAGCTGTTATACTATTTGATGTTTGATTCATTTTCAATCCAGGAAATCTGGTAAACACTGCTATTTACGATCACTGCTCCACTTAGATCATGTCTGTGATTTGTGAATAGTAATTAATCAGCTTAATTCTCACTTAAAAAGTACTTATCGGAGTTTACTGCATAGGAGAAATAATGTGTTTATGTTCTTCATAACATCAATCTGAGCATGGCTCTTACAACTATCACGAAGGTGGTTTTGTAATTTCATCTCGTTATGCTTTCTTTAGAAAGTGGTGACACTGACTTGAAGGCAATCGGCTTGAAACTTGACTTTTTTTTGCATGGATTTGAATTTGTTCTGAAGTAATTGGCAGTGTAAATTTAGTATAACTACCCCAAAACCAGACCTTTCCTCCACTTAGAGCTTGTTCTCTTCGCCTGATTAGATTGGAATAAGTTCAGATCTGTTTGTAATTTTAACTAAAGCTGTTTCTGATATGATCTGATTCCAATAAGAATATGTAATAAGTAATAAGAATACTTTGAAGATAACAAGCTCTTACACTGGTTTCCAAGAGACTCTAGTTGAGACATAGAAGCAAAGACAAAGAAACCACCATGGCACGAACAAAGTATGAGTATAGGCAAAATAAGAACACACTCTAGCAACTAGATCCAAAACACAGAACACACACATGTACAAGCTAAAGACTAAGGCATAGTAAAACACCAACATAAACTAGAAACTCGGGCCTAAAGGTCTACCCGATTTCTCTAATCCTAGACCTTCGAGCATTCCTATTTAAGACCATGTTCTCGGTAAGATCCTGAAATGGTAAGTCTTGTCTATTCACCTCCTAATGTGAGGAATGTTATAATTAAGAACAATGTTGGTATTTTCTCAATGCTGCTATCTAATACAGAGTAGATTTAATTTTCAGTTTAGGCTCAGGTTGTGGGATATGCCTTATAAAGTTCGTGAAAATCTGTTAATTGGGAACATCAGTGATGCTGCTGAGATTCTTCAGCAAGGCAGTGAACAGATTACACACATACTATCAGTTCTTAGTTCTGCTTCAGTTTCATTTTTCACTGAATGGCGTAATGATATTGTGATCCCGGCCCAGGAGATTCGTAAGGTGTATTTTGGAGGTAATGGATCAGAGGGAAATGTCACTGCGGAGTCTAGCACTTCTCTATCACACCAGAAGCTTCTATACTCATTGGAGTATGCTGGGAAGGATCTAAAGTTTGTGAGGATGGCAGTCGCTTTAAGGGATATGGAGAGTGAGAATTTGCTGGATTATTTGGAAGTGTGTTTGGATTTCATTGAAGAAAGTAGAAAAAAAGGTTGTGTGCTAGTGCATTGTTTTGCTGGTGTCTCAAGAAGGTATTGTTTAAAACCAATGTCCTGGTTATGGTTTAAGTTATATACCTTTGCTCTATCAACAAGAGCCCACTTTTTTTCTTTTGATCACAGAAGAGCCCACTGTTTATTCTATAGACAAAGCTCAGGCTTTGTTGATAATTATGATAATGATGATGACGATAATAGTAATAATAATAGTAATAATAATAAATTAATAGTACAGAGAATTATTATTATTATTAGTATTAGTATTATTAATAATAATAATAATAATAATATTATTATTATTATTATTATTATTATTATTATTATTATTATTATTATTATTATTATTATTATTAACCAACGGTTCTTTTGACCTTGGAATTCATGGTCATATTATAACCCGCGGCCACTACAGTGCTTCGTTGGTAAAATTGATGGTTCCTAATTCCTATCTACCCCTACCCCAGCACCCCCTGCCCCCTCGGGCAGGGGGTGCGGGGGGGGGGATAGGAACCATCAATTTTACCAACGGAGCAGCGTAGGTGCCCCAAAATGCCAAGGTCATTTAAGGTCACTCGAGGCCATGGTCAAAAGATCCTTGTCGTTATTGTTACTATAGTGCAACAAACAACTCAATTCTCAGGCTGTGCAAAGTTTTCCTAAACCACAAGTCCCGATGTTTGTTTTGTGATATGTTAATTATTTCTTTTAAAGATAGGGATCTTATTAGCTCACTCACTGAGAGTGTGACGATTGTTTGTTTCTTGATGAGGTTCAAAATTGTTTTTCTTGGTGTATTAGATCATAGGGAAAACAACCTCTCACATTACAAATAAAAATGCTAAGATCCTTAATATTATTTTAACAATATGCTACCATAGTTAGATAGGTCTGCTTGTTTGTATATATTTCTGCTTTTAGATGGGGTTATTGATTATATTTGTATACACATATGTTATACAAATCATGCTGGTATGACTTCTTAAATGGAAGAAATGGTTAATGTAATTTTGGTAATTCTTCGAATTTTCTTTATTTGGAAGAATTTGTGTAGTTTTACTCATCATGGTTGGCATTTTAACTCCTTGGTCACAAAAAGTGGAACTGCAGAAGGATGCACTCTGGTTTTTTGAACTGAGGATGATGAGATATTCATGTGTCAATTGGAGTTTGCATTTTCCAAATGTGCCTATTGATAGGACTCTGAATAAGACTAAGCCACTGCTCACTTATCAGCGGCGCAGGAATAAGCATTTGACTTAGTCATGTTTTATGACTTGGTCATGTTTATTTATTTATTTACCTAAATATGAGTCTATCCCTTTTTATTAGTAATTGAGTCAGTCAAAGTTGTTAGTCATTTAAAATATCCCTTTTTATTAGCAATTGGGTCAGTCAAAGTTGTTAGTCAGTTGAGATAATGGTGGGATGATGGGATCACCATCTAAACCCAAGGAGTCAGTTTCTCTTTTCTGTTATTTCCCTTGTATTACTGCATTATTTATACCCTTAGCCAGTTTATGCTAAAGGGCAGGAGTAATATTACATTTATATTTTCAGAGATTCTCTTGGGCTTCTTAGTCTCAAAAATCGAGATTCTTGATTTAAAGAGATCTAGAAGATTTGTTCTTGTTTTTAGTTTCCAGTTTTTGGTATCTATCATTTTTGGTATCAGAGCCTAGATCTTGCCCAACTATGGTAAACACTCGATCTTCCGCAACTGATGGCAATCCTGATGTCGGCAACACCCTAGCACAACAGAATGATGCCTTGGCCACCATCGCTGCCCGACTGGACATTCTGGATGAGTTACGAGACAAAGTAGCAGCTTTAGAAGTCCACAACCGCAATCCAACAACAAAGAAGAAGAAGATCTATGCTGACGACTCCGAGGAGGAATCAGAATCTCATTCACGAAGACACTTCCGGCCTCCGTATGCAAAAATTGAGTTTCCCAAATTCTCAGGAGGTGACCCACGTGGTTGGATTTTGAAAGCAGAGAAATATTTTCGGTACTATGAAACACCGGATGAAGAAAAGGTGGACATAGCATCGATGTATCTTGAAGGAGATGCATTGGACATGTTTTCTTGGGCTTTATCAGAACGTACGGTGTTGTACTGGGAGGAATTGGTCAAGATATTGCAAGAACAATACGGACCTCCGGAATACCAAAATCCAGATGAGTACCTCGCAGCTGTTCAACAGGTGGGAACTGTCCAAGAATATCGTGTGGAATGGGCGCGACGAGTAGCAAGGGTTAAAAATTGGCCCGATCACTGCCTACTTGGGATTTTCCTGAACGGATTGAAGGAGGAATTGCGCTCTGAGGTGAGAATACACAAACCTCAGAGTGTCTATCGTGCGACAAGTTTGGCCCTAGAGATGGAGAAAAAGCTGCAGGGTACCAAAAGTACCCGACCTTGTTCAACTGCAAGTTCAGCCCGAGCCACTTACAGCACCAACTCGGGCAGGAATCAATCTGTACCTGATTCGTCAGCAAAGACCTCGACTTCGCACAATCCTACGTCGCAAAACCCAGGTTCCTCACAATCAGTCATTCCCTTTCGCTCTAATTCGTGGGATACTACTCGGCAAGAACGACGAAACAAAGGGCTCTGTTTCCGCTGTGGAGACCCATTTCGACCAGGGCACCGTTGTACGACATCCACTTTCTCACTAATGGAAGTAGATGTGGAAGGAAATCCAATTCCGGAAACATTTGAGCCTGCTCCTGAAATGGAAGAAATCATAGAAGAGGCAGAAATTTCTTTCAATGCCATTCTTGGGACATCGTCAGCGGCAACAATGAAACTACAAGGATCAATTCAAAACCGCAATGTCCTGTGTTTGGTTGATAGCGGCTCCACCCACAACTTCTTCTCAGAAAGGTTGGTAAATGAATTAAATTTAGTTACCACCTCTATTCCGGTGTTGGGGGTACAGATTGGGGATGGCAGCCTTGTGCGATGTGGAAAAATATGCAAGGCCGTAAAGTTGCAGCTTCCAGGTTTGAGTATTACTCAGGATTTTTATCCATTTTCTCTCTCTGGATCTGATCTCGTGCTAGGCATCAAGTGGTTGGCTTCTCTGAACACTATTCAAGCCAACTGGAAT